ATAAAATATTTATTTCTATTTAAAAGATTTTGCCTAATGAAATTTGTTTAATTCTTTATAAACTAAATTGTGGCGCACCTTATTTACTTTTTCTAAAATTCATCCATATATAAACATAATAATAGTTGTGTGTGCACATATTGTGTATATGTATATATATATATAATATACTATTTATATACGGAATATTATATTATATATATTATAATCGGATTCAGATCTTTAAGGGACCAGATCAGGTGAGATCTATATTTGTTCCATTTATTTCAGATTATGGATTTTTTTAATCAAATTATATCGATTGAATTTTTTATCAATAAAAGATTTTAAGTAATTAGATCGAATTCAGATCAAATTCAAATAAAAATCTGCTCCCTTGATAGCCCTAAATAAGATCACCCTTATTTATACTAATAAGAAGAGTAAATTGAGAAATAGTCATTTTTTGAGTAATTTTAATGAAAATATAGAAATGGTAGTCACAATAACCAAATGAGATTGCTGTTTCACTCTATTTCTTTTTTTATGAACTAATAAAATTAAAAGCTGTCCATAGAATATTATTGTGTTCCATTTTTTTGACTATGTATTTATTGTGAAAAATATATAATACATTTTCCAAATGTTTTGAATAGCAACCCTTCATCGATTCTTAAAATCGTATAAAAAGATTTAACATATGGATTCAATTTTTGTCAAACCCATTAAACACGTTGGTCTTCTAAATGACTAGAAGTCTTCTAAGTGAATGGAGGAATTAAGATATGAAAGTTGGAAAATATTGCCAATGTTTCCTTACTTTTGTCACTTCCCAAGTGTCTATTTGTTGTGGAAAATAGTGATATTTTCAAAATTTTCTCATCTTTAGCATCGATGTCAACTTATTTTTAAAAGCACACAAAGCAGTTGTGAATGCTTAAAAAATTCCACTTTGCCAAAGTTAGCAAAAGCCTATGAAGTGGATGGAAAATTCCAATAATGTGAATGGTGCACCTATTTTTCAATTTAAATGGCCCTACCATTACAAGTTGTCTTGCTAAAAAAAATATGACATGATAGTTTTTAAAGAGTTATTTGGAGAAAGAAGAAAAAAAAGGGAATAAATTAGGAGTTGACACCACTCACCTCTCTATCTAATGTCTCCCCTTTCACATGTTGAAGTCAAAAGCAAGCACAGAGTGAGAGAATACCTATCCCAATTGATTAGTTTTCATGTCTGTGAAAATTTTGGATAGTGAGAAAGATTGAAGTGGATTTGTGTACTTTTTCAAAATGGAGCCCAATTGTGAGAGTAAGAGTTTGCTACAAGGTCATTGTTATCCCCCAAGGAGATCAGAAGTTTTGAGTGGCTGGCAAATGTGCTAAATGAACCCTGAATTTGGAAGATGTTTTCGGTAGTGCAAGAATAGCAATGATGTGAGACTCTTTGAAGTAGAGAAGGCAATATTCCCACTGAATTTGTAGTTGGAAAAAATCAAAAAATTGGAGAGATGATAAGTTGCACAGACTAATTGTCCCCTCAAAGTTGTTATCCTTGAGACTAAGAGCTTGGAGATTGTTAAGTTCACATGAAAATGTAGAAAAAATAAATTAAGTAACGTTTATTTTGATTGCAATTCACAACTTAATATACACGTGAGCAAAGTTTTTAAGAGATTAATATTAAAGGAACAATAAAGCAAAAATTAAGATTGGCAAGACGTTTCTATGTAGTGACAAACAAATTATTAAAAAAATATATGCACAGAAATTGAGAATGTGCCTTCACCTTGATATGGGGGGGCTATGCAGATACAATCATAATATCTACACACAAATTATATATATTTTGAGAATAACATAATATGATAGCTAAGAAATTGATAGATATTGGATTAGAATTGGCAATCACTCTTGAACAATGTTTAAAATCATATAAAATAATATAGATGATTTAATTTATGCCAAATTCATAAAACACACTACTCTCAGAAATGGATAGAAGTCTTCCACGCAGATGGAGGAATTAAGAAATAGAATTTGGAAGATATTACCAATATCTCCTGATTTTGCCATTTCCTAAGTATCTATGTATTGTGAAAAATATTAATAACATTAAGCAATGACCTTGACTTATTTTTCGAAGTGTACAAAGGGGCTCAATTGATATAATTTATGCGTGTCATTATTTAGAAAATGAAATTTTGCCAAAGTAAAAAAAAAAAAAAGCCTCCCTAGTGGATGAAAAATTCAAATAATGTAAAGGGTGCACCAACTTTAACATTTAAAGAGCTGTCCCATTATGAGTTTGCCTGCCAAAAAACAAAAAAGTCATGACATGATAGAAGAAAAGAGTTATTTACAGCAACCAATAAGTGGGACTAAGTTGAAACTCATGACATATTTATTGTTTTTATTGCTTTTTGGTTAGATAATTTCAAATTATTTAAGATTTAGCATAAATTGTAAATACAACCTTTTTTTTTGGTTAAGGATTTGATGGTGAAAAGAAATTGATAGAACTCATCTATTATCATTTTGAGTTTTTGAATTGTTATAAATGAATTTTTGAATGAATACTTTTATATCACCAATATGCTGAGGTAGAAATTGTCATTTTGTAATTTTTTTTTGTTGACATAACCCTTAGTTTGGGACCTTACAATGAATGTATTATGTAGACAAATTACATTCCCTAAATTGTTTTCACACCCTAAGCTTAAAAATTTATATGAGTGTTAATGGACATATACATGAATAGATTACGAATGTCTTTAGAAGAGTGCTAGCAAGAGTTGCTCTCATACTTTCTCTTTTACCTTTGTTTTGCAATTCCTCTTTACCCTCTTTTGGAACTTTTCTTTTGAATTGTGAGATATAGGTGGTAGTAAGAGAAAGAAAAAAAAATTAGGGAGAGAAAAATTAAATATAAAGATGGAAATAAAAATTAATTTAGAACATTAACACTCCTCCGCCTAATCTCTCCCCTTCTTCACACCCTCTAGTGATCTCCCTATTTTCCCATCCAATCCAGCCAACCTTTCCCCCTTATATCTCTACCACCGTAAGAAATATTGAAATTTCTGACGCAAAATTAGTGAAACATAGAATTTAGTCAGTTTACTAATGTAATTTCCAACACAATTTGTCTGAAATTTGTAAAATATTTAATAAAGTGCAAAAATGGTAGAAACGTTTTTTTGAAACAATTACCGATACAATTTTGTATCTAAAAGCATTATCAACGCATTTGTGTGTCAGTAATTTTAAAAAATAAAATTTTTAAAATTTAAAATTATCAATGCATGTGTGCGTTAGTAACTTTTTTAAAAAATAATTTTTTTTCAAATTTAAACTTACCAAGAGAAAGCTTGCATCGGTAATTCTTAAAACAAATAAAAGTTTTAAAATTTAAAATTACCGATGCAAAAATGATCAGTAATGTTTTCAAAAATTAAAATTTTTAAAATTAAAAATTACCAACGTAACTGTTGCATTGTTAATATTAAAAATATAAAATTTTGAAAATTCAAAGTTATTGATGCAAAAGTTGCATTGTTAAATTTTTAGAAAAATAAAATTTTTCACATTTAAAATTACCTACGCCATTATGCATGGGTAATTTTTTAAAAAATAATATTTGTCAGATTGAAAGTTACTGACACAATATTTGTGTCAATTACTTTTTTAAAAAATAAAACTTTTAAACATGAAAATTACTAATGCTCAATATGCCTTGATAAGTGTTATTGAAATATTAAATAATAAATTGTGAAATATACTGGCACAAATATTATGTCAGTAATTATAAGTGATATATTATATTATTAGTATTAAAGATTACTGATGTCTGAACTTGCGTTGGTAATTTTTTAAAAAATAATTATTTTCTAATATTAACAAAATAATAAGAATAAAAATTATTTGAAAATTAAAATGAAAACAAAAATAACGTTGAAACAAGATTAATAACTTTTAATCTTGTATAGTATATTTCCTAAAAATGTGCATCGGAAATTTGGCCGATAAACCAATCCAAATTTTTGTGTTGATAATTTTGTGTCAAAAAATTACTATTTTTCTGGTAATGAACAAATTCCATGAAGAAATATCTTCCAAGCTCATGTTACAATTGCAACTATTAAAAATCAGAATAGGAGGAGAATGTAATTTTTCCCAATTATATATATTTTATTCTTTTATTTGTCTTGGATTCCAATATGGGTGTTTATGGTTTAGTTTGGTTCGATTTGTTGTTCAAATTTAAACCAAAATATAGTCTATGATTTGTGATTTTAAGAAATTAAACCAAATTACGATTCACAATTTGATTTAATTTCAAATTACAGTTTGTAATTTATATAATAAAATGGATAAAATTTATTAATTTTATAGAAATTTTGATAGAATTTTCTTAAAAATCAGATATCTAATTTTTTAAACATGTTTAATTCAATAAATTTTGTTATTTATCAAATAACTATAGTAATTATATATTATACAGCAAATTTATTTATTTAACATAACAAAGTTTTGTTTGTATTAATAAAAATCACATTCTAAAAAATAAAAATATTTAATTATTAAAATAAATAAAATATAAAGGCTGCCATACTTGCTTGTCTCCGTTTTCTAATCACAGCCATGGCGGCCTTTGCCTACCATCTTGCAACCTTGTTCACGTCTCTAGATGCCCATCTTGCTCTCTTCTTCTCTATCTTCTGCTTCCTTCATCCTCAGTGAATTCAATTCATTTCCAGCTAAATCGCTTTGATCCCAGAGCAACCGACATAGTTTATGAAGGGGATGCGGTACCTTCTGTTGGAGAGATTGAGTTCAACAAAGTCAATTACATAAACCGGGTAGGCTGGGCCGTCTATGCTCAGAGGGTCCGCATCTGGGACTCGGGGACCAAAGAGCTCACCGACTTCACCACCCATTACTCATTCATAATCGACACACAAGGTAGTGAAAGTTACGGCCATGGACTCGTTTTCTTCCTTGCGCCTCTTGATTTCGACATGCCACCCAACTCAGGCGGTGGGTTCCTGGGCTTGTTCAACACCACCAATAGCGATTCACCCAAGAACCAGATAGTTATGGTTGAGTTTGATTCCTTTGGGAATGCTGGATGGGATCCTTCGTATGGACATGTTGGGATCAACAACAATTCGATATCTTCTGCTGTGACCACTCCTTGGAACGCTAGCCTTCACAGCGGGGACACAGCCAAGGCTTGGATCACCTACAACGCAAGCACTCAAAATCTCAGCGTGTTCTGGTCCTATGATGCAATTCCAACACCTTCCGTAAGTTCTAGTCTTTCATACCGGATTAACCTCAGGGAGGCTGTATCCGAGTGGGTGAAGGTTGGATTTTCAGCTGCTACAGGTCAGTACGTAGAGCGACATAGGCTTAAGTCATCGGAGTTCAATTCAACACACAGGCACAGCAGAGGCAAGTGGGAATATTACTAAAAGAAACAGAGTAATAGTGGGTGTTACTGTTCCAGTTGGTATTTTGGTTCTGGTGGCGATCATAGCATCTATAGTTTCGTGGAAGAAAAAGCATACTAATAGAGAAGCAACAACAGAGAGAGATAATTTGACATCGATCAATTACGATCTCGAGAGAGCCGCGGGACCCAGGAGGTATTCTTACAAAGATCTATCTTCTGCGACTAGCAATTTCTCGAGGGAAAGAAAGCTGGGAGAGGGAGGATTTGGAGAAGTTTACAAGGGCTACCTCAATGATTTGGACATGGCCGTGGCCGTGAAGAAAATGTCGAGAAGGTCTAAGCAGGGAGAAAGGAGTACATGGCAGAGGTGAAGATTATCAGCCGATTAAGGCACCGAAATTTGGTGCAGCTCGTGGGTTGGTGCCACGAGCGCGGGGAGTTTCTTCTAGTCTATGAATTCATGCCAAACGGAAGCCTCGATAACCACCTCTTCAGTAAGAATAGGAGTCCTCTCATTTGGATTGTGAGGTACAAGATAGCTCTTGGTTTAGCCTCTGCTTTGCTCTATCTCCACGAAGAGTGGGAGCAATGTGTGGTACACCGGGACATTAAGTGCAGCAACGTAATGCTAGATTCGAGCTTCAACGTCAAGCTTGGAGACTTCGGGTTAGCCCGGTTCATGGACCACGAAGTAGGTCCTCAAACAACTGGCCTAGCTGGGACTTATGGGTACATGGCGCCGGAATCTATTAGCACAGGCAAGGCGAGTAAAGAGTCGGACGTTTATAGCTTCGGGGTGGTGGCGCTAGAGATTGCTACAGGGCGAAAATCATTGAATCCACGGGAAGGGGATTCTCAAATTGGGTTGGTGGAGTGGGTATGGGATCTGTATCGAAAAGAACAGCTACAGTCGTGTGTGGATGAGAGGCTCCACAAGAACTTTGATGCCAAACAAGTGGAGTGCTTGATGATTGTCGGACTGTGGTGTGCTCACCCAGACCAGAGCTTGAGGCCGTCGATGAGGCAAGCAATGCATGTACTCAATTTTGAGTCGGCGATGCCGAGTCTTCCCACAAAGATGCCTGTGCCGGTGTACCATGCGCCGTGTGCATCGACTAGTTCTCGTGAGCCTTCAATAACCTATACGAGCATTGAAATGGCGCGTTGAGTAAAGGTTGTACACGGACACGTTTGAGTCTTCTCTTGGGGTAACTCTACTGGAAATGGGTTTTAGAACTTGAAATAAAATTTCACGTTGTCTTCCTCTGCTGAATGATCCTGAAGCTTCGTATATATGAGGTCTTGCAGAAATTGCTGATGTTTAATTCTCCTGTTTAAGTTTAATTGGTTTATGTTCTGGACTGCGGATAATCCCTCAAATGTCAACGGTAAGAGGACTCTTTAGGCATAGACACAATTGTAAGGATCTACATATCATCTATATATTATTTTATAGACCCTCGTCTTTGTAGTTTTTGTCTGACAGCTCCTCATCTTTGTGCTTGCAGATTAGAAATGTTTTGTTAGTGGGTAACGAGTATTAAACCTTTTAGGAAGCTCTGGCTTGGCCTTAGTAAAAGTTGTAGAACTTTGAGTTCATAATTTATTATAAATATATTTATATATAGTTAATTACTATTGAATCGGGGAAACTTCTTAATAAAAATATTTAGAAAGAAAGCCTCGTAATCCAGATTTCTAGTTTGCAGCCGTTTATGGCAGATCATAAGCCTTTCTATTGCTGGCTGACTTTTTAGGCCCACGACCTCCGTCTTATTGGGTCATAAGCCTAGATTAGAAATTTTAGTTTTTTGAAATTTTTTTAAGTGCTTTTGTATACTTTCGATATACCCTAGTGGGCTATTTTTGTTTTTAAAGTTTTGGAAGAATTTATTGTCCCAATTAAATTCTCCACAATCCTTTTCAAAAATAAATAAACAAGCAAATAAACTCTTAAATCATAAATTGACCTAATCAATAATAGTGGGAAGATTTTAAGCAAATGTTTATGTAGGCTTCTTCTATTTGAAGAAATGATTATTTAGAAAATTTTAATCCTTTTAAAATTAAAAGAGCTCCGTTTGTACAACTCCTGTTGAATGACAAGAGCTCACAGAGCTCCATCTTGGATGGAGCTCTACTAATACCAACCTAGCCCTCTAAATTCGGTTATCAAGTAATAGAGTTTCCTTCTGAGATCAGGCTCCCAGGACTAATTAAAATCGGTTGTCAGGCAACAAATTCCCTCCTGAAATTGGGTCCCCAAGACCCGATTATTTGGATTCTTTTGACCCGCTTTCTTAACACAAATAGTATTTAACACATTTTGGTATATAAATTTCAAGAATATATTTAAGTAGATAAAATTTTTTATAAATATTAATATAAATTTACCCGTATAATTATATTTGAAAGGTTAAATTAGTTGGTTGAAAACTCCAAAGAGTAGAGGAATTAAAGGACGGGAATGAACAAGAGCTTTTATATTTTCGTTCATAATGGTGTGATGTAAGCACACTTTTCCTTATCCTAGAAATATAAGGATTGTTTCCAATCTCATATGTAATATTGAATTTATATTTCAGAAATTTAAGGCAAACAAGATTTTGTTTATAATTTTTGGGTTGGAAGTAAGGATGGCAACTTTATTCACTTGATAGGTACTTGCAAACTTTATTTGATCGGAGCTGAGTAAGGATATTGCAAAATAGGAATGGGGATAGGAAAAATGGGAATGGGACAGGTTTGGGAAATTTTGAAGTACGAGGAGGGAGATGAGAATTGTAGCATCTAACTCGTCCCGTACTTAATATAATTAAAAATTATAATTTATATATTAAAAATATATATGTAAATAAATACTTAATATATTATAAATATATTATTTTTAACATGAATTATATTTAAACAGGTAAATAGGTACAAGGAGCAAATATAATACTATCCGACCAGATGAAAATGGGGATTAATATTTATACTCAATCAAGTACAAGGGCGAGCATGAAAATGGATTTTCGTATCAGGTATAAGAATTAATACATTGGTTCTTGCCCGTTGCCCTTCCCAGTTACAACATTTACACTCCGTCAGTCTCAAAACTTAAGATTGTCAATAAATATCTTTAAATCCCCAGAAGAGAGATCAGAGAATCACCTTCGGAGATTCGGTCTTGTATTTGTCATTTTGGGCTTAATTAGTTTAACTGACCATGCACGTTCAATATTTATCGTCTCCTCTGGGGAATGGACAGAACAGCAACAGTGTCCCCGGGGCCTTGGGCGGCACCTGAGAATGATAAAATGTAGTTTTTCATTACTTGTTTGATAATATTTATATTTGTTTAGTTGAGTGAACTTGACGAGAATAGAAGTGAAATTGTTGAGTAAGAGATGAAAATGTGTGTTTTATTAATCATTTTTTTTTATTTTTTATCATTTGAGTAATAAATAAATAAAATAAAGTATTCATAAAAACATTAGATTAGAGGTTTATTCAAATTCATTGATAGCACAGATGCAATCGCAATTGATGCTTGGATTGGGAGGGTCTAAGCATGACTTAAGACTTGGGTTTCAGGAAAATTCTTATAGAGATGATCGAGAAAAAGTAGTCAAGTGATAGTGTTTATGCTTCTATTGTGTCCAAAATAAGATCCTTCATCCAACAAGGCTGGCAAATTAAGGTCAAGTATATGTTTAGAGTGTAATGATTGTGTGAATGTTTTGGCCAGGATGGGTTTATCCAAGTGCTTGATACGAAGTATTGGGCCCTCTTCCCAGTCAATTTAAGATAGCATTCAACCTTGATTCGTTGGGAGTCCGTATTTTCTATGAATTTATGGCTTAGTTTTTTAATTTTTTTTCCCTCTCTTTTGAGCTTCAACCCCCTTTTATAATAATAATAATTTTAAAAAAGTATTCGCGAAACATTTCCATGTCATATCAAAATAAATCAAGCAACTTTTTGGATGGAGGGTGATTAATTGCTTAAGCATGGGGACTAGACCAAAGGCCTTGTTCAATCTCATTTTATTTTGATTTTTATTCATTTTTTTCCCTTTATTTCTAGTTGGTTAGTTGTTTTGTCCACTTCCCTCGCCAAGAAAATAATAAAACATTTCTAGCATAAAGATAATTAGTTCATTTCTAGGGGAATTTTGAATCAGACAAGTGGAGATATGCACTGAGACAAACCCATATGATTTTAAACTAAATAACATTCACTACCAGAAAAAACGCTTTTAGTGATCAGAAATTAGTAACCGTAGTAATAGGTCACTAATTAGTGACCGAGTAATGACCTAGTAGTGACCGACTAAGGCTAAGTTATTTGAGAAAAAAAAAAAAAGAATAATTGATTTGTGACTGCAGACACTACAGTTAGAAATCAGTCATAGAATTAGTGACCACTACAGTTTTAGTTACAAAAAAGTTAGTAATTAGTGATCAAATATAAGACAGTTACAAAATGGGTCACTAATTAGTGACCCTTTCTTGGTGGGTTACAAAGACGATCATAATTTGGGGGTGGGCCTTTATAGTCGATCACTAATTAGTGACCCCCATTACGGTGGTTACAAATGGGTCATTAATTACTGACCTCGAATTTTATGATTACAAAAAAAGGGATTACTAATTAGTGACCCCCTTTAGTTGGTTATTATTGGGGTCACTACTTAAAGGAAATGATCCTTTTATTTCGGTCATTAATTTGTGACCCCTTTTTTCAGTTACAAATTGGTCAGTAATAAATTTTTTTGTAATTAAATATTTAGCTCACCAAGTAGGAAAAATTTAGTTATGAATATATCTCTATTCAGTTACAAGCATACCTCCATCTATTGAATTAAGTGGTTGACTAGTTCAATTATGAGCAGAGTTCCATTGAGTTACAAATACAGACTCATTAGCTTACAAGCAAATGATTCGTTACACTTAGGAATATATAGAGTTGAAAGAGCTCCATCTAGTTATAAGCAAAGTTTCGTCAAGTTACAAACAGATATTGGTTCAATTACAAGTATAGTCCTATTCAGTTACAAGCAAAATACAAGGATTGTTTAGCAATTTTAGCTGAAGAGAAAATCTGAATGACCTTATAGGGTTACAACCTAAGATAAGTATAGTTACAAGCAAAGACCTGTATAATTACGTGCAAAGACTCGTTTAGTTATAGGCAAATACCTGTATAATGGCAAGCAGAGACCTTTATAATTACAAGTGTATACTTGTTTAATTACAAGTAGAGACCTGTAGAGTTACAAGCAGAGACCTTTATAGTTACAAGCATAGACTCGTTTAGTTACAAGCAGAGACCTATATAGTTATAGGCATATACTTCTTTAATTACAAGCAGAGACATGCATAGTTAGAAACAGACTTATGTAGTTATAAGTAAAGACTCGTTCAGTTGCAAGTAAAGATCTAAATAGTTGCAAACACAAACCTTTATAGTTATAAGCAAAGACTCATTCAATTACAAGTAGAGACCTGTACAGTTACAAGCAGAGACTTTTATAATTACAAGTAAAGACTTGTATAGTTACAAGCAAAGACTTGTTCAATTAGAAATAGAGACCTGTATAATTACAAGCTTATACTCTTTCAGTTACAAGTAAAGACCTATATAGTTACTAGCTGAGACCTATATAGTTACAAGTAAAGACTCGTTTAATTATAAGAAAAGACCTGTATAGTTACAATCATATACTCGTTCAGTTACAAGCAGAGATCTGTATAGTTACAAGCAGAGACTTTTATAGTTACAAGCAAAGACTTGTATAGTAACAAGCAGAGACACGTTCAATAACAAGTAAAGACTTGTATAGTTACAGGCATAAACTTGTTCAGTTACAAGTAGAAACCTGTATAGTTACAAGCAAAGACTAGTTCAGTTACAAGCAGAGACCTATATAATTACAATCATATACTCATTCAGTTACATGCAGAGACCTATATAGTTATAAGTAGAGATCTGTATAATTACAAGCAGAGACATGTATACTTTCAAATAGAAACTTTTATAGTTATAAATAAACTCGCTTAGTTACAAGCAGAGACTTGTAGAGTTACAACCATAGACCCATTTAGTTATAAGCATAGCCCCGTGTAGTTACAAGCAAAATATAAGGGTAGTTCAACAACTTTGGCGAAAGTAAAAAATCTGATA